GTGCAAATCTATATATATTATACTATTGCACGTGAGTAGGCCGTGCAACACGTGAGTTGGCCGTGCAGATCTATATATTATTATAGCATGTGAGTTGGTCGTGCGGACCCTTATATTATTATTGCATGTGAGTTGGCCGTGCGGATCCTTATATTATTATTGCACGTGAGTTGGCCATGCGGATCCTTATATTATTATTGCACGTGAGTTGATCGTGCAACACGTGAGTTGGCCGTGCGGATCCAGATATTTAAATTATGGCACGTGAGTTGTCCGTGCAATACGTGAGTTGTTCGTGATTATAGCGCTTGGGCTGTAGGAGCCCCTCATGAGTCTGTACACCCCCACTGAGCGCAGTCGACTATAAACAGGGATCGGGCTGCACGCCACAACAGGTATTGTATAGCGCTGAGTGATTGAGTGCGCTGAGCACAGTGAGAAATAATGTCAGACAATGAGATTGAGTACTATAAGAGTGTGAGTACATGAGTGCAATCTCTGAGATACATTGCATTGACATGCACATATGACATATATGCATAGAGATGTATTTTTCTCATGTTGTACGGTATCACATTATTCATGATTTCTCTCACATGTTGACGGATGGGCATAGTAATGCATTTGTTTTACACTGGTTATCTGGGAAAGAAAATGAGATATTTTATTTATCATTGAAAGGATTTTGAAAAAAAATACAGTTTTCAAACTTATTCATATTTTTGGTAATCTTCGGTATACGATTCGGGTTTTCATTGATGTACTTGAAAGGCAGAACTATTTTCAGAAGTCATGATTTGGCTGAGCATTTATTCTTGAGTTACTTCTGGTATTACTTGTTTAATATTGTTATGAACTATTGTTGGTTATGAAAGTTGGACTCTGACCTTGGTAGAAGCTCGTCACTACTTTCAACTCACGACTAGGTTTGTTACTTACTCAGTACATGGGATCGGTTGTACTGATACTACACTTCTGCACATTGTGTGCAGATATTGGTTGTCGTTGTGGATGTGCTCGATGGTTGCGGGATCTGAAGATGTACCTGCATTCGTGTTGTAGCTGCCTCTTATTCAGGGTAGCCTTAGATTTATAAAAGCTCTGTTTATGTATTATTCAAACAGACTATGTATTATTTCATTTTCGCTTTGTATACTCTATTCTTAAAAGCTCATGATTTGTACTACCGGTTCTTGGGGAAATGTAATGGTTTCATATATTTTCTTTAATAATTTTCTTGTTAAATTATATTGGAATTGGATAGTGAATAGTTGGCTTACCTAACGGGTTGGGTTAGGTGCCATCACGACTAGTTGGATTTTGGGTCGTGACACTTATAATTTGTGACAACACTAGTACAACTAGTATGATCAAGAACCCGGTTCATCACAAAAGACTAAGCACGTAGATGTTTTTTTAAGAAAAGTCCAATAGGCATTGTGCCTAGGGTTGATTTTCATATATATAAAAATAAAGATACAACAGTGGAGGGGGGCATAAACCTGACCTCCAAAGATGAGGGAAAACTTTGTCATCCAATTTTGACAACCAAATGAATCATGAATGATATGGTAAGTTAGACCTATAGTGATGAACCTAGTGTCTATCCAGAGTTGATATACACTTGGGTATACAAAAATAGAATGAAGTAAGCCTAGGTCAACTATACAACTAAGTACTAGAAGTCCTACATCTACTAAATACGTGAACTGGAAGCTACTCTTCCATGTACAATAAGTTCTACCTCTAATAAAGGAGTAGAAGATCCCTATGAGATATGGCAAACAAACATGAGAAAGTAGAGGGAACTATCTTCAACCTTGCTTTGACATTGAGGTCAAGGAAAGCCAGGTTGAAGTAGCTGACAAAAAGGCCCAGAGAACTGGGCTGAAATGCTGATGTTGCTACCCGGTATTGCTGACAGAAAAGACTGAGCATAGTCCTAGGTTTGAACCCATAGATTGTTTCTGCTGAAGAAGTAAATGAGATGCAGGTTGTTGTTGATGCAACTGCTGCCTTGAGCCTAGAAGGTGAGAAATTTACTGTTGGTGAAGGGTCCATGGTGTTGGTGTCTTCTGATGGTGATGAATGTGTGCAAATTGTGAGAAATAAGGTTGGAAGGACTGCTGATAATGATTTGTGTACATCATGAGAAACATGTCCTTAGTATCATATGTCCCAGAAAAGGAAGCCAGATAAGGAATAGTGAGTTGGGAGGCTTGGTTTAATTGGTGCTCTTTCAGTAGATTGAGCTTTCTAGATGCAGATACCATACACTGAAAGAGCAACAATTGACCAAGTCTACTCCTTGTACCTGCAAAATTAGCGAACTTGTTAGCAGTGGTGGGGTTCTGTTTGCAAGTTCTTATGGGATCTGGAATCAGAAGTTGTGTGGGGAGTGGGATTGAATGTGGAGGGTTTGATGCCATCCCAAATTCTTGATTAGTACCTACTTGTAGGTTAATGAACACCATAGAGTAGGTTATTTGACTATTGTTGTGACTGGGGGTGTGTGGCAAGGGAGAGAAACTACAGATACTAGGGGTGAGAAAGGTGAAAGGTTGTTCACATGGCGTGTTGAAGGTTGTTGTTGGAACTGGTGCATTGTTCATGCCATTAATGAGGTATTTTGCTTAGTATATTTTTAGAAGAATGAGCATCATAGATGCTAATACCACACTCTGAGAGCATACCAATTGATTGAGCATAAAGAAGTTATTGATACCTACAAAAAAAAACCAGAGTTAGAGATGAAATGGGCATTTCTGCCCAGGTTTGTTATTCTGTTATTTTCTTGAAGGTCGTGTGGGATTGCATTCAGGTTCTTGTGTCTACTGATGCAATTTGTAAGTGGTTGAGTGATTGGTGGCTGGTGGTTAAGGGAATATGGTTGGTTTTTTTAGGTATTTTTGTGGCTTCTTGTTGTTGGATGATAAGAGTAGAGGACAATTGTAGGATTTTGCCACCAGGTTCTTGTATGTACTGGTGCAGTGGGTGAGGTGTTCAGGGTAGTGAAATATGGAGGTTGTTATTGCTAGGAACTGTAGGTTGTGTGTGTGTGTATTGGTGTATGTTATCTTGTTTGGGTGTGGGACTTCTGTGAATGTGTTTGGGGTGTTACTACTGGGACTTGAGGATTGATGGATTCTAAGTGAAGCAGCATGGAGTGTCCAATTACATTGGGGGGATACCAATAGAATGAGCATCAAATATACTAATACCACACATTGGATTTCCACCAATGATGTTGGCATTCCTGCTATTCCTGTAAAACAAAAAAGAAAGTTAGTCGAAAGGTGTGGGATTATGATGATCGCTGTGTGCTGGGGACTTTGAATCTCTTTGGAATATTAGGACAACTCCCAGATATTTGTGGTTGTCATCCATAGCCATTGTAAGAGGAGGTGGTGGTGTTCATGCATGGTGAGATTTGTATAGTGGTTGTCTTCTTATGCCTGAAGGATGGGGTGCACATTTGGTCCAATATGATCTGACATCTGATGTGGGAAGGGAGGTCAAGCATACTGTTAAAATGGTTAAGTCGGGGAAGATCATGGCTAAGCTTGGATAAGGAGTCTGCAGGGCAGTTTGCTTTCCTGAAGGTGTGTGCGCATCTGATTTCTTCACATTGTTGACAGAGGTGTTGCAACTGTTGAAGTTGCATCTGAATATTCCATGGGGGTTTGGATGAGTTGCTTACCCAGTGTACCAAGATAGTTAAATCAACTTCAAGATGAATTCTAGTAAATCCATTCTCAATGCACCAATTGACTCCAATTGTAGCAGCATTAGTTTCTGCTAAATTATTTGTGCCAGTGCCAAAGGGAGAGGTTATGGTATGAATGAATTGACTATGGTGATCCCTAACTATAACTCCAGCTATTATTTTTCCAGGATTTGTGAGGGCACTGCCATCACAGTTCACTTTAACAAACTGAGCCTCAGGTTTTACCCATTCCACTTGAGTGGTTGTGGTAATATGTTTTACATTCTCTGCCAAAATGTAGATGTCAATCCAGTTGGGAGGCCATTGGATCTGGGGATAGCTGGTCTTGAGAAGAGGAAGGATATCTGAATGGATAGCAAAGAGTACCCTGGTGATGGATGAACTCATATTGCCATATTTGGCTCCACATTTGTTCTTCCAGTGGTTCCAACATATGATAACTGGAGTGGTGTCAAGCAGAAGTTTGTGGACTGCATTATTAGCTTTCATAAGCCACCATTTTATCAAAAGTTGTCTGAGTGAGAGGTCATCAGTATGAGGTCCAGCAATACCAGAGAATTTCTTCCACACTATTCTTGCAAAATGCCCTTTACTAAAGATGTGATCAATGGATTCCCCCTAAGGTCTAACACAACAAACACACCTGGTAACAGTAGGCTGACCAAAGGAGACAACTCTATCATCAGTAGGCAACTTGTTCCTGAGGGCTCTCCAAAGACAAAAGGACCATTTGACTGGCTTTTTATGTTCCAGATTTTCATATAGGAGAAGAGGTGTTGCTTTTTATTTCTGATAACTTCACAGGCTAATGCACATGCAAAGTCACTTGTTATGTGTGGTGTCTATATGGCTTTATCAGGGATGTGAGGATTAAATTGAAGGGGATCATGTGTGTAGGAGCTAAGGCATTCAATTTCTGCATGTTCCACTGTCCAGCTTCCCAAAAATAGGAAACTAGAACTTTACCTGGTTTGCCACCACCATTTGTTTGATTAGCTAATGGACTAGTTCCAAGCCAATTGTCCCACCGGAAGCTGATCTCCCCTGAATGCAGTCTCCAATGAATGTATTGTCCTGCCTCTTTCCTATTGACCGTGAGGTTCTTCCATGCCTGAGATTGTCCTGTATCCCATTTCTTTAAGATAGGATGAGATCTTTGGCAGTACTTAGCCAAAAAGAATCTGCTCCACAATGACTGATTGGTTCTAAAATTCCACCATTGCTTGAACTCCATAGCTTTGCATACATCCTGAATAGATCTAGTCCCAATGCCTCATTCTTTCAAGGGGTATGCCATTTTTGACCATGAAGCCCAGTGATATTTATTTCTGTCTTTTTCAACACCCCAGAAAAATTGAGAAGCCAGCTTTTCAATTTGTTTCATAACTGTCTTGGGAGGGGAAACAAATGAAAATAAATGAATGGGAAGGGATTGCATGACATGTTTGATGAGGGTAACTCTGCCTCCATAAGAAAGCAGCTTGTCATGCCAGCCTCTAATTCTCCCCATCACCTTAGATATTAGACCATTGAAGTATATGATTCTTTTCCTTCTAATGTATAATGGGCACCCCAGGTATGTGATAGGAGATTCCTTTCTAGTGAATCCAGTTATCTGTTGGATTCTGCTCACATTATAATGGAAAACACTGGCTAGAACCATGAAATAACTCTTGTTTTTGTTAATTTTTTGGCCAGAGGTGGTTTCATAATCACTTAGAATCTTCATGATTTTGTGGAGTGAGGATCTGCACCCTGAAGTGAAGATGATAATATCATCTACAAAGCTAAGATGGTTGACCTGTGGACCTCTCTTTTCCATGTAGAAACCATTGAAAAATTGATTAGGGGTGAGGTTGTTGATCATTCTTGACAGGAGTTCAGCACCAATAATGAAAAGGGCAGGGGATAGAGGACCCCCCTGCTTCAAACCTCTGGTAGACTTAAAGAAACCATATCCGGTACCATTGACAAAAACTAAATACCAATTGTTGGACATTGTCCTCCAAATCATGTCAATGATAATCTCACAGAACCCTACTCTTCTCAATATAATGCAAGTGAAAGCCCATGAGACTCTGTCATCAGCTTTGTCCATATCAAGCGTGATCCCAACATTGGCACCAGTATTTGGCTTTTTGATTCCCTAAACAATTTCTTGTGCAAGCATAATATTCTCAGAAATGCTCCTTCCCCTAACAAATCTAGATTGATTAGGAGATATAATCTTGGGTAGTGTGGGGGCTAATCTGGTGTAAATGACTTTGGAAATGACCTTGTTGATGAAGTTACTAAGACTGATTGGTCTGAATTCTGTTAAGGAGTTTGGAATTCAAACTTAGGTAGGAGAACCAAACAAGCATTGGTCATGTACTTTGGCATAACACTGCCTCTGAAGTAGGCCAGGACAACATTGAGAAGGTCATGATTTATTATTTACCAGCATGCTTGGAAACATTTTCTATTCATTCCATCTGGACCTGCTGCACTGTTAGGGTTCATAGAGAAGACCACCTTTTTGAGTTCCTGTAAGGTAGGATCATTGATGAGTTCAACATTATCTTCAGGGGTGATCATGCTGGGAATACATTTAAGAAGGTCTTCTTTTATCACCCCCTCTGTTTCAGAAAGGATCTCTTCAAAAAATTCACAAGCAGCTTCACCAATAGCCTCATCCCATTGTATCCAATCCCCTTCCTTATTTTTGAGTTTATGAATGTACAACTTTCTTCTTCTTCCTATAATTAAGTTGTGAAAGTATCTGGAGTTGGCATCACCATATTTGAACCAGTGAAGCTGTATTTTTTGCCTTAGAACAACTTCTTCAGTCTTCAAATATTTAGTATATTGGGCTTGAATCTCATGAAGAGAAGCTCTATCAGATGGATCATTGGTTGATAACCATTTCTCTTCAGCTTCCCCAACCTTTTGTTTAAATTCCTTGGGTAGTTGAAAGATGTCACCATATTGTTCTCTTGACCAGACACTTAGTGCCCTAGAGGTAGTTTTCAATTTCTGGTGGAATTTCCACATAGCACTGCCAGCAATATGTGTGGACCAGATCTGGTGAACTCAGGGTTTGAATGACTCATTTTTAGTCCAAATATTGAGAAATTTGAAGTACTTATGATTGTGTTCTTGCCTCATATGAAGTTCTAAAAGGAGGTGAGAGTGGTCAAAACCAGCTATTGCTAGATGGGTAATGGTGGTGGCAAGAAAAGAGCTTAGCCAATTGTCATTAACCATACCTCTATCCAGTCTTTTACAAACTATTGAACATGGGCCTATACTATTTGACCATGTGTATCTTGGACCATAGAAACCAAGGTCAACAAGCCCATAATCTTCAATCATGCTGAGAAAATCAATGTACTTCTTCATTTGATAAGGGAGCCCACCAATCTTCTCTTCAACTGAGGCTATAACATTGAAATCACCAATGACACACCAAGGAACAGAACAACTGGTGGATTTCAATCTCAAAGTTTGCCATAGAGGAATTCTCATAGAAGGTTTACACTTAGTATAGATAATAGTGACCTGAAAGGGATCATCAGCTTCCACATGTTTGAGTTCAATGGTCATTTGTTGTTTGGATTCAATTCTAGCATATTTGGAAAGAATGATTCTTTTTTAGATAAGGTTGATTTGGTTTGAAGAAAAGAATCGGTTTTGGTTGGGTGTGAGAGAAGGAAATGATATTTTTGGGGCAACGAGTCAGTTTAGAAGGGTTTAACATTTTGGACTTCAAACATTAAGAGAGAGAGACAGGAATAAATTAGTAACATAATACTTCAGCAGTTTGAAAAGACATAATATTGAAGAGACTACTAACCTGAGTCACCAGAACTAGGTTCCTTGACGGTTTTTTAAATTTTGAGAAAAAACTCCTAGAAGTGCAATGTCACTCATACTTGTTTTCTCTAAAAAATGCTATGTGTGTATACCTGTAACAATATAGAATTGAGTTAGATGGCACTAGAAAAATACTTTTTAGTATTGTATCTTTCCTTATTTACATGGCCAATCATCAAGGGACCAGGTCCTTAGTTAAGCTTCATCAACCTCAACTCTAGACGATCTCTTTCAAAGTGTTCTCTGCTCAATTCGTTGGTGAAGATATCTACTACCTGATCCCCCATCTTGCAAACCTTCATACAAATAAGCCATTTTTCAATATTGTCCCTCAAAAAGTAATATCAGACATCAATGTGCTTTGTCTCCTTGTGTTGTATCGGGTTCTTTGCAATGTTTAAAGCACTTGTATTATCACACAACAATGGCATACAATATGTAAACACACCCAAATCTTCTAGTTGTTCCTTAATCTACAACATTTGAGAATAACAAGAGGCAATATCCACACATTCACCTTCAATAGTAGAAAGAGCCACATGGTTTTGTTTCTTTGTACCGTATGAGATCAAGCATAACCCTAAAAAATGTGCAATTCCAGATGTTCTATTTCGATCCACCAAATATCCAACATGATAAGCATTAGCATATCCAACCAAGTAAAAACTATCTCCTGAAGAATAGAAGAGGACCAACTCCTACGTTCCCTTAGAATACCTCAAAATTCTTTTGCCAGCCTTCAAGTGAGATTCTTTTAGGCTTGATTGGAACCTAGAACACAACCCAACACTAAAAATAATATCAGGTTTGCTAACAGTCAAGTACATAAGAGATCCAATGATACCCTTATACATAGTTTCATTGACTTGAGAACAAGGTTCGTCCATGTCTAAACGAGTAATAGTGGTAATAAGTGTATCAATGGTTTTAGCATTCTCCATCTCAAATCTTTTTAGCAGCTCCTTGAAGTACTTAAACATCAGAATTTGAAGTACCAGGTTCCTCCATAAATGAATCATCATTGACATCAACAGAATTATGACTTCCACTTCGTTGTTCTGCATCAGGAGTACCTGATGCAACATCAGAAACCTTACGTTCAGCTTCAGCCGAGGTGATAGAGGGACCAGGTTCCTTTGTGCCTTTTGGAGATTCTGCTACATCTTCTTCATCCCTCTACTTGACTTGACACATCAAGTCAGTCTTTCCATTTGCAATATCTATAGCTTTACCAGGAGCATTTGTAAATTCTCCATCTTCATGTTCTTTGTTATGTGAGCCTTTGCCACCATTATTGAGAACAAAACATTTTGCATCCAACATCTTAGGTTTTCTCCCATTGAGCAGTTCACATAGAGATTTCTCGAGAAGGGACTTGATCATGCGCTTGTTAATCAAGTACCAGGCGGTGTTGACTGCTTCAGCCTACGAACTAGGTCCTCCATAAATGTAACGATCCGGTTGATCGTTTTGAGTATTACATCCCCATTCCCCCATTTACTGCTCAATTTATGCTTTACAGTTGTTATATGACTTGTCGGGGTAATTGGTTCGGGTCCGGTGAGGTTTTGGAATGAATTGGAATACTTAGTTCCAAGGTTTAAAGCTTAAGTTGAAATAGTTGACCGGACATTAACTTATGTGTAAACGACTCTGGAATAGAATTTTGATGATTCCAATAGCTCTGTATGGTGATTTTGGACTTAGGAGTATGTCCAAAAATTTATTTGGAAGTCCATAGTTAAATTAGGCTTGAAATGGCTAAAACAGAAATTTACGCTTGGAAGTTTTATCGGAGAGTTGACTTTTTGATATCGGAGTCGGAATCCGATTCTGGAAATTTCAATAAGTATGTTATGTCATTTATGACTTATGTGCAAAATTTGAGGTCAATCCGACTTGATTTGATAAGTTGCGACATCGAATGTAGATGTTGAAAGTTCTTAGTTTTGTTAAGCTTGAATTGGGGTATGATTCGTGGTTCTATCATTGTTTGATGTGATTTGAGGTTTCAACTAAGTTAGTATGATATTTTAGGACTTTTTGGTATGTTTGGTTGAGGTCCCGAGGGCCTCGGGTGAGTTTTGGATGGTTAACGGATTGAATTTTGGACTTGGAACTTTGCTGGAATTGTCTGATGCACTGTCTGGTTTTCTTCTCCGCGTTCGCAAGAGGGGCCTCACGTTCGCAAAGGGGAACTTGAGGCAGATGAATTTTGTTCTTCATGTTCACAATGCAGGGACCGCGATCCCGAAGGGTTGATGTCAGTGTTCATCGCGAAAGCGTGAAAGCGTTCGTGTTCGCGTAGAAGGACGAGGCCAGGCTGGGTAATGTGCATTAAAGCTTCACATTTGTGAAGGGTAGATCGCGTTCGCGAAGGCCAAGCTTGGTAAAGCATCGCGTTCGCAAAGAGTAATTTTGGGCAGAACAATTTTGTGCTTCGCGAACGCGAGGGGCCTGTCGCGTTCGCGAAGAAGAAAGACCTGGATAGAAAGTTTAAGTTCTGAAAATGGGACGAACTTTCCATTTTTGACAATTTGGAGCTCGGGAAAAGGCGAGTTTCAGAAGATTTTCAAGAAAAACAATGGGGTAAGTGTTCTTAACTCAATTTTGGTCAAATTACCCGAATCTATAGTTGTTTTGGCATTTAATTGGTGATTTAAGTTGGAAAATTGTGAAAACTCTCTTGGTTTAATTTGAAGATTTGAGGGTCGAGTTGATGTTGGAATTTGGTAAAATTTGGTTTGACTCATGGTTGAATGGGAGTGCATATTTTGTAATTTTTGTCGAGTTTCGAGACTTGGGCCTCACGGGCTATTTTTGAGTGCAATTTCGGATTTTGCAAGAAAATTTATATTTTTATATGGAATTAATTCCTATAATTTGTATTGATTGAATCAAATTAATTGTGACTAGATTCGAGGTGTTCGGATGCCGATTCGCGAGGCAAAGGCGTAAGAATTGTGATTTAGTCAAATTCCATGGAATTGTGTAGTTGAATAATCTATTGTTACATGTACATTCTCCAGGTATTAGAGAAATTGAACCACAAATCATGTTAGAAATTATGTTTAGGCTATGTATTGGCACTGTAGGTACCCACAGAGGTCGTGTACATGTTGAATTATTTGCTGAATTGTTATTTTGTACGCAGTCACAGTTTTACTTGTTATTATATATCAGTCTCTAGTGTTCCTTATTGATACATTATATCATTTCTGTTGGGTCTGATTTTCATGATTAGTGAGTGCCCGAGAGACCGGAGAGATTTATGACCGAGTGAGGCCGAGGACTTGATTGTGATATATTACACTATAGCATGTGAGTTGTCCGTGCAACACGTAAGTTGTCCGTGCATATCCATATATTATACTATAGCATGTGAGTTGTCCGTGTAACAGGTAAGTTGTCTGTGCGGATTATAGAGTTTGGGCTGAATGAGCCCCTCCGGTGTCTGTACACGCCCTAGTGAGCGCAGGTACCTACTGAGTGCGAGTGACGAATCCTGAGCGAATGGGAGGACTGAGTGATTGTTGCTCTGAGAGGATGCATTGATTTCATTATTATTATGCTTCAGTTGACATATATCACTATTTTTTTGGAAATTTCTAAGAGATATTACCTCCTATTTCAGTTGATCTTAACATGAAATTACTGTTTGGGCCTTGATTGTTGAACTTGAAAGCATGTCTACTTTCTTATGATGGAAATTAATGTAATTGGGCTTAACTGAGAAGCTCGTCACCACTTTCAATTCTTTATTTAGTATTGTTACTTGCTGAGTTGGTTATACTCATACTTTACTCTGCACCTCGTGTGCAGATCCAGGTACTTCCGGACTCGACGGTTGCTAGTTTTTCGGAGCTTTATTTGTTAGAGATTATCGAGGTAGCTTCTTGACGTCTGCAGACCTTGATTTTCTTTCCTTTCAGTTTTTGTACTGTTCTATATTTTCAGACAGTATTTTTATCTGTCAGACTTTGCTATCATTTAGATTCTCTTGTACTTAGTGACACAGGGTTTTGGGAGTGTTTTAGTTTGGTATTGGTGAGATTTTTGGTATTGAATTTAAATATTATATTTTTGAAACTTAAAAGAAATTGTGGTTTATTGAGGTTGTCGACTTTCCTAGTATTGAGATAGGCATCATCATGACAGGCAGGATTTTGAGTCGTAACAAGTTGGTATCAGAGCCAAGGTTATATAGGTCTCACGAGTCATCTACAGGTTAAGTAGAGTCTTGCGGATCGGTACGGAGACGTATGTACTTATCTTCGAGAGGCTACCAAACCCTTAGGAAAATTTCACTTTCTTGTATTCTGTCGTGCAAATTTGTTAATTTCGGAAACTAAATTTCTGTTTTTCTATTCTCTCACAGATGGTGAGGATACGTACTACCGGATCAAATGGTCAGCCACCAGTTAGGGTCGCGAGAAGCTGGGGTCGTGGTAGAGGCCAAGGTAGAGGTCGAGGTATAGCTCGTACAATAGTTGGAGCACCACCTGTAGCACCACCATCATTTAGCAGCGCTGAGTGAGAGGATGCTAAGAGTTTCCTGGATAAGTGCCAGTGGATGCTTCGGAGAACGGGTATTTTGGAGACCAGTGGGGTCTCATTCACAACTTTTCAGTTTTTTTGGGCTGCCTTCAGATGGTGGGAGGTTTATGAGAGGCGCAGGCTGGTCGGTGCAGCACCGCTTACATGGGAGGAGTTCTCCGTTATCTTCTTGG